AATACGGTGAACAACTGAATATAGACCATCGTTTCTATAAATAACAATGGTGACGAAATAGAGAACACCATGCAGCTTATAGCTCTATATATAGTTGTAAAGAAAAATACAGGTAGAAAAAATAAATAAATACCAATGGTAAATAAATCGAACGTTAAAAACGAATACCTAATTGGAATGATTCGGACTATGGTTTTCCGATGAAATATTTCTGCAAGGGAAAAAAAAGAAAAACTTTATTGATTTCATTGTCTTTTTAAATTTTTAAAGTAAGTTTTCAACATATTTTTTTTTACATTTTTGTCTAGAATTTATTATTTGATCCTCCAAAATGTAATTGAAATAATCCAAAAATATAGCCGCTACTATAAGTATTATTTTATATAACATTAACTGAAATTATTACTAAAAAATGGATATTAGCTTCTTATTTTCTTCGCTGTATATCGCTACTTATATTATAATTAATGCAATTATAATCATGTAATTTTATGATACATATATTTAAAAAAGAAAAAAAAGAAAATGTTAAGATATACCATACAATTGCCTGATCAGTTAATCAGTTAATTGTCCGTTAATCAGTAATTAATTTCAAAAGTTTTACAATTGTTTTTATTTACCTCTGTTTATTCCTTCGGTGACAAAGGAATAAACCGAATAATATACAAATGTTTTCATAAAATAACAGTTATCAATGAAATAATATTTCGTATACATAATAAATATTAATACACACGATTTTTCCCTGAAGTTTAATATTAAATCCCAATTCAATGGTCATAAATATATTTACATAAGTACTACAAAAAATAATAAATCAATACGCTCTCAGTATTCATAAATCAGCTTGTTTTCGTAAAATATGTATTTGCATATTATAAGTTTAAATTCCATTATTTATATATATATACAGTGTGTTTCTTTTTAAAGGTAACACTAAATAATTCTGTCCAGTGACATCGGATTAATATGCGGTTTTCAGGAAGAGATAGGGAATACATAAATACACATTTCTTAATGATTTTTACATTTTTAGATCTTTCCGTGTGCGCATGCGCAATACAACTTGCATTTTTTTAAATGGCAACAGGTGTTTTGAATACCAAATTCGGATAGACCGAATTTTTTCAAGTCGATTTGGTCCTTTTTACCATAGTTCTAAAATCAAATTTGACTAAATGGCAACCAGTCAAAGTTTCGATTAAAATTATTGAATTTTTCACCAATCATACTAGAATTTTATGAATTATTATGAAATTGTATTTATTATTTTCGTATCCGTAGGTTTGCAGATATTATTAAATCATTTAAATTTAATTTTGAGGAATTGATTAACCTCAATTAGACGTAAATGTTAGTTCATGTAAACTCCAAGTATCTTCTCTCGGTAAGTGTACCATCGTAAAAATAACATATCTAGATAAAGTAACCCACACCAAACGTTAGTTCCCCAAACTGTTTGGTGATTTGTATCAGTCGTCCAATATGGATTGTGATCAGCCCAATACCGGTTATTTTGTTTATTAATTATACCGTTGTTGGTAAACTTTGATTCGTCGATCCAACAGATAAATCGTAAAAAATCGGGTTCGTCGTGTAATTGTATCATAAACCATGCAATAAATGTAAGTCTACGATTAGAATCACCTGGTACCAACTTTTGTACTAAATCAGTTCTATACGGGTTCAATTTATTTTTTTTTCAAAATTTTATGAAATTTTTTACAAGAAATTCCAATATCGTTGCTTAAATGCCTAATCGAAGATCGAGGATTTAATTGAACATATGCTAATACCTACAATTCGTTAAGAATCATTAAAAAATGTGTATTTATGTATTCCCTATCTCCTCCTGAAAACCGTATATTAATCCGATGTCACTGGACAGAATTATTTAGTGTTACCTTTAAAAGGAAACACACTGTATTTCATAAATTTTAAGTACAAGTTACTTTTTTGTGAATTAATTTTTATAATTAATTAAAAAAAAAAAAAAAGTTACCGTAATAAAAAAAAAATGCTGTGAAGAAATGCTATAAGCACAGATTATTTTTAACCATGTTTTTTACTGTAATTTAATTCATTACAATTTTTGATATTTTATTATTCTATAATGGTTTATTTATTTATATACTTATTTAATTTTTTTTTTTTTTTTTAATTAAATTGAACGTTGAACCTCTTATAGGTCACGTTCTTATATAAATCCATTCCGTGGTCAGTAAATATTCACATTAACAAATTCCGTTTAACCACTTTCGTAACAAATAATTTCATATTCTGCATGCCTAATAATCATACCTGTTGAATGAGTCGTTCGAATTACTTGTATACAACAGGCGCGGATCCTGGGGGGGCGGTAGGGGCGCTCCCCCGTCAGCCGTATCAAAATGTGTTGTATCTAATTTGTTATACTATTAAATTGCATTATTTTGTGTTATACCATTCTAATGTATTGTTAATTGTTATTGTCACAAATTTTCGTCTTTTATTTTTATAACATAAATATATGAAGTGTCGATAACAACATTATTGCGACCGTATGAGCGACGACAACCACCAGCCGGCCAGCCCAACCGACTCATAGTTTTGTTCTAAAAATAGTATGAGATTCCATGTTTATTTTGTTTACATATATTAAAATCTTCCTTATTCCTGACTGCCTAAAATATATATATTTATAATTCAGATATCAGTTTATTTCTAGCAGTACCTATAATAGTAATAATTGTTGTGTTGCTGTTGACATTAGATTAGACACTCTTTAGTCTTTAGTTTGACAACCGTAGATATACACGCGTACTTGTATTACGTATAATTTCCTTAGTAATCGAAATTATATTTCTCGTAATACGCCGTTAAAAGTGACCGCGATTTATTCTTTTAATTTAATTGGTGACGTTTGTATTATAGTTGTAAGTTTTTATACTGTAATTACTTCATTTTATTCGTTTATTGAACAAAAACATAATGTCGATATTACACATCAACTTGTGCAAGTACTGTGGAAAATGATGATCGAACAACTGAGGAAAATAAAAATCGAATTGCAGTGGATTCAAGTGAGTCGTCTTTACCATCAAAAAAAAGTATTCATTATAAATTTATAAATAATCAGGAATTGCATTATGTACTATTGCATTTATAACTATTTATATATATATATATATATACCTATATAATATAATATAATATACTCGTATTTAGCAGTAGGTATCTAAATATGTATACTTATTTATAATCCGCCCCCCCCCCCCGTTAAGGTAGGCTGGATCCACGCCTGGTATACAAGAGCATAAATGTATGACAATATTAACGTTTAAGGTATTTTTCGAATCATCTAACACGGTTGTTAGTCTGGAAAACTGCTTGAGAATCGGTTAACGCGTGTGGTTTTATTTCGCAATAACGTTAAACTTTGACAGTCCGTACGGTGCAAAAGCCATTAAAAAGACGTGATACTGAAAAGTATGTCCTGGGACGCTTAACGCTTCATTGATAAATGGTACAAGGACAAATGTACGTGAATCTATACATAAAATAATAGTTAACCTATAATTTTTGGACAGAAAAAATCATAATGCGAGAAATAAAACCATCAAATGTAAGTTTTAAAAAAAAGGCTTAAGCATTTTCTTTCAAAGAAAAACATTATTTATGACGAAGTGTTTTTGTTTTTTTTTGATAACATAACTCAATAATTTTCTTTAGCTAAACAAAAAACTTAAAATTTTACAAATTTTACATATAAATAACTTTGAATTCAATTTTGCTGGCAAAAAAATTAAAATATTAGATAAATTATAATACTGTTTTTTTATTTAAAACAAAAAATTAATGATCCTCTACTATTATTAAATTATGGGTGTATCATACCCTCTTAACGGTTTCATAAATACCTATAACTTTTACTATCTGTTAAATGTTAAATCTTTTACTGTCAGTTAAATTTTCTTACTATTTTCTTTTTATATTTTATTACTCAGTACATTGACTTATATATTATACTTTGTGTTCACTGTAAGCAAACAAGGTAGTGGTGGATTTACATCCCAGAATAACATTTTTCCAACTTTATTTTCCAATAGGTATCATATTTGTCCAACAGAAATATATTATTTTAGTACATTAAAATTAAGGTTGTAAATATTTGGACCGTCAATTGGATAAAACAGTTGAACCAAAAATAAGTTTAATTTATTGCATAATTTTCTATAACCAATACTTTTTATATAATTTATACTTAATGTTTTGTTTAATAGATGTGTTAGGGTAAAAAAAAATTAAAATGATTATACTCATAATCATAAACTATTTAATATATGTTTTTTTAAATTTATTAATGTTTTCTTTCAATCAGTTACATATAATCGCAGACAACAAAATTATGTTATCACAATGTTGAAACAATATTAAAATTGTAATAATAATATTATTAAGAATATTATAACAACGTTATTAAAAGATTATTTAACATTATGAAAACATTATCATAAAATTACTGTGGTAGAAAATATTATGTTCTCATAATATTATTTTCATAATATCATCAAAATATTAACCTCTAAACATGTCCACAAAAACATTTATGAATGTTTTAAATTTAATGATGAACTAATATTTAAAAACCATTCCAGACAGCAAAAGAATATTCTTATAATGTTATAAGAATGTTAATTACAAAACAGTAACATTTAGTAAAATATTTCATCAATGTTATGATAATATTTGTGGACGTTACTGTAACATTACTACAAAATTATTTGGCCGCTAATTTCATGTTATCCTAACGACATAATATCAATATTATCATAATGTTGATCACATAATATTCAGTTAATATTATTTTTAAATATTTGACAAACATTTTAAACAAATAATATTGTAATATTATATTTAAAATATTATAACCATAAAAGAAAATTTTTTTTTAAATATTTCTTTATTAGCATTGGTTTTGAAAATATGTGCGATTGTAGATAAACAAACAACTTTAACTAAAATGCAAATTTATTTACTCTAAAATAGCACATAAATATATGTTAATAACATATAAATTTATAGGTTTAATACATTGGAATATCAATATTTTAATATATGTTTATACAATTTTAATATTATGATTCTACATTCAAAATTAAAATAAAAACATAACGAACTGTGGAGTATATATGTAATATTAATTATATTATATATTATAAAAAGTAAATAAAAAATTGTCAATTTAAAAGATACAATACTAAGATTTAAAAAAATGTTAATAATATAATAACAATATTGATAAACATAATTTAATGAATAATACATAACAATTAATATTAACTTGAAGAAAGAATTCTGGAGAGTTTTTCTTTTTTTCGAAATAAGCTTTTTAATACGAAATGGTGCATGGGATAGCCAAATTCCTAGCGAATTATCAATTTCTTTTTCAGGAACAACACTGTACTTTACATTTACTCTTATAGCATCTATATAATATACAATAATAATATCTTAGATTAATAAAATAAAATGCAACATATTACAATGCTTAATAATAATAATAAATGTCAACTACCTATAGTAGTGATAATTCATTTCATAGTTTTAGTTTTATTGTAATTTGTTATAAGTCAAAGTTAAATATGCTTTACCTATAATAACTCGATAGCAATGTAAACTTGAGAAACACAGCTTTGATTTAAATCCATATAACGAATATTCAGATAGCAAAACATCACTTAACATTCTTGATACAATTCTTCGAACACTATTTCCAAGATCATTAATATCAATTAATACTGATAACTGAGTAATCTAAAAAATAAACATATTATGTTACAATACATTTATATAATAGAGAATAATTTAAAGAGTTAAAAAGTATAATACCAATGTATTTTTAAAGTTTTCATCAGCCTTAATTTTTATTTCCAAAGATTCTAATTCACCATGAGTTTTAATAGGAAATATACTATCAAGATTTATGATATCTTTGGCTGAAGTATTTTTATTAGCCATTAATGTATTAATACTAATACTATTTTATTGTACAATACTTAAAATGCTACCAATGTCATATTTTACATTTACTAAAGTATTAGTAATAAACTGTTGAAAATCTGTCAAATCAATAAAGTTTATCAGAAATTAGATAGGTATAAATACAATACCTATATAAGTATAAATTATTATACTAAATAATGCACATACCATCAGATATATTTGACTGGTTTTGAGAAATATTAGTATCTTGAGGCAATTTCAAAACATCAGCTGTAGTACTTGATTCTATATAGTTATATAAAAAAGTTTATCTTAATTTATTAAAGAATATAAATATTAGCATAGATACACAGATATATATTGGAATGTTAAAACTTTATGGGTTCATTTTTATTTTTTATAGTGATGGCAAACTAAAAGAAATTATTTATTTACATTAATACTTTTGCTTGTACAATTAATCATAGGATATACAATGAAGTTTTTAAACCTTTTTTTTTTTTTTAATATAAATTGTATATTTTAGGTAACATTTATTAAATTATCATGATTATTGAAGTTAAAGAATAAATTTATAATCATAAACTATCATAGATTTTATTACCTGAGTTATCAATAATTTGATCACAAAATAATACTTTTTTAACTTTGATACTACTGCGATCAGAACTTGTTTTATATAATAATTGTGTATCTTCGTATTTTTCAACTGTCCAAGTTCCAACAGGAGATGGAATTATATGTTCTGTATTGTCAATAGGTTTATTAACTAACACAGAGGCATTTTTTACAGGAGTTATACAATTAATACCATCAATAACAGAGTTCCCTACAAAACAAAAAGTTACAGTCAAAAGTTTAAATATAAAATTACATAATTATTCCTAGAAAATATACATTACATTTTTTGAAGCCAAAATAACATAGTAATACAACTAACAATAAATTTTCAATTTTAATACAATACTTATTATACCAACACAAATTTAGGGAAACATAATGCCAACACTTTTAAAGATTAAAAAAAAATCAACACATATATCAAAAGATAGATATATAAATATTATATATAAATAAAACAAATCAAAATTTATAAGTCAGAATTAGATTAAGTTCAACATTAGACTATTACATCTAATATTATGTATAATGGTGATAAAAATAATGTAATAGATAATAATATTAATTTATATAATATTCATTTATTAGCATACTAAGTCGAACAGGGTTTAAAACTTCTTAAAAATTATAGTGAAAATTCAATGGTTACTTTTAAATGTAGGTATCTATTTTTTTTTTAATATACTGAATTTTATTTCCATAATTAATTTGATGTTTAAATTATTTTTAGTTTTCATTTATAGTAGTAAATTTATATTATATTATATGAAATAGTTAATTATACGTTTAAATTAAATAAAAATTTGGTAAATAATTTTATTTTATTATTCTAATATACATCTAATTATTGATAATATGAAAAAATATTTATACTTTGGCTTTTGTCAATTTTCCAAAGAGGATCTTTGTCTGAGTCATAAGAGGCATCATTGGAATTATCAGAAGATTCAAAATTATTTATTTCTTTGTTTGAATGAGCTGATTGAGAAACATCTAAAAAATTTAAAGAAAAATACAAGTTATTACATAAAACTATAAATGCATTAGAAAAAGAACATTTTGAATCTTACCTTGATAACGAGGAGGACAGCTATCAGAAGATATCTTTTTTTGTTTTCAATTGTTGACTTTCAATTTTTTTGATTTCATAATTAAAGTGGGAGACAAACTTTGGCCTCTATACTCATAAGGGCATTTCCTTTTTCTTTTTGTTATCCCACCAATGATGTCATCAGCACTTGATAAATCAGATTTATGAATTGCCAATGGCAATTTTCTTTTCGCTTCATTATATGAATCTGAACAATTGGTACAAAACAAATTAATACACAACTCATTAGATAACCTAGATACCTTTATTATAATACAGTTATTTCTTAACTATACACTTTATTTCCAATTAGTCTGGATTTGTAAAATATGAAGTCATTCATATTTGGCTTAATTCTTTTTTGGATATATTTCTTTGCTTGCTTAGAAGCTTTAGGCCAAGCACAAGAATTATTTTTCAACCAAAAGTTCGACACTACTTCAACATTTTCATCGTCACAAAATTCCACAACAATCCAACCAAAATGATCATCCATCTAATTAAAAAAAGGAAATAGGTAGGTAATTGAATTTATGAAAATTTTAAACATTTCATTTAATTATGTACCTACTATTAAAAATATGCTGATATTTTGAAGTAATAATTAATAAATTTATACTAGCTAGTATATGTACCTATTATCTATCCTACTTTATTTAAGAGCATTAATAACACAACTTTGATTTACTGATTTACACTATTTACAATTTTATTTACAAATTACAATTTATTTAAATGTCCGTATGAATAATGGGCATGGCTATTTTTACTCCACTATGATGAAGTACCATCATTTTCTTTTTAATATCATATATTGTCCAATATTTCAGTCGACTAGATAATTTTTTTATTTTAAATATATTGTTACGTGGTACCCAATAAAAACAGGTACCTATCGTAATGATGTTGTTGGAGTAGGATAAATTGATTCAATAATTAATTTAAACACTTTTAAACACTTTAATAAATACAAATACAAATACAGATACAAATTATAAATTTGTGCACTAACAATATCAAAGACAAAACTCAGAAGGGCTTGTACTGATAGCTAGACACGTCTGCCGTTGGTGGTGAAACGGAGCCTTTATATACTCTGTTTGATTCTGTTTTAATTGCGTTGTTTTCGGCACGTGGTTGTCCTTGGCCTGGTTGTCTTATTTGAATGATATGATATATGTAATAGCTACCATATATTTCTCCGAACCTTTTAACAAAATAATTTAAAAGGTCTCTAGCATAATCAACCAATGTGCTTCTCTCTGGACTAAGAAGTATTAACATAAAAATGTTTAAAGCCATAAAATGCTCATAACATTTATTGCTTAAAATATTTTTGAAAACAACTTGACCAACATAAAGAACTATGGTTCGAAATTCGGTGGCTTTAAAGCGACTTAATTCTTTCATGTTTCTTACACCTCGTACAAAATCAGAAGTAATACAATTTTTTAAAGATAATAAAGAAGATGATAAATCATCAACACTCTTTGATCGTAGGCGAACATTTAATGGTCCTTTGGTCCAAATAAATAGAAGCTTCTTCATCCCCCCTAAGCAAATTAGGTGCATATAATCAAGACTGAAAGAGTTAATTTAATCAAAACCTGGCAATTCAATTAAACGTGTTAATTCATTAGAAACATGAAAGTCTTCATCGAGTTTATTAATATAAGAGTGATGATTTCTTTTTAAAGAAGGCACATGGGAGTAGGGAAAACATACTCTATTGTTTATGTATTCTCCCTCGATTTTACATCTTGTGCAAGAAGAGAATCCAGAATGACCTTTTGTACGCAAGATAAAACTTTTAGCAGGCACATCAAGACAAAATACTTTTATTGAAATTTTTATTTCAATAAAATTTCGAATAATACCATTACTAATAAGATATTTAGCTTCATCTACAAAATTTGAAAGAAGTTAATAAATTTCTATCATCTGGTTTTTCAAGGCCATAGTAAATGCCAATAAGAAATACACTTTTGAAGGATGAATCTTGAGGAATAATATATCCTAAAATAGGCCAAAATTGACCACCACTACTCTTTGACAAAGGCACTCCATCAATACCTATGGCAATATTGATTTCATTAACATTATTGGGAGTATACTTCAAAATCGCAGAGGCCAATCCAAAGTGATGATATATTCCTGGCTTAACAGTTTGTATATTCTGATAAATATTTTTTGGAGTTGATAAAAGAGTTCTACTATCCACAGGTAAATCTTTGAAACATTTATGGTTTTTTAATCCCTTTAGTAATCCATTTAAAACTATGTGCGAAATATTAAATTTAAGAGCCCACAATGCTAGGAAGTCCTTTAAAGAAAAATCTTCTTGAATAATTGAATATTCTCCCACATTATCACACAGAACTTCAGATTGTTCTTCAGAACAAGTATTGGAAGTAAGTACAAGTACTAAATAATATTGTTGCTGGGGTTTTAATTATTAAAGACTCTTTAGGAGACAATACATTTAGGACTGTATTTAATGGTTCATTATTATCAAACAAATTAATTGATTTAGAAACTTCTTGGAAAACATTGTTCGATTTACCATAAATTACATTAAGAGTGTAATCAATTTCATTTTTGTTTTTTCTTTTTTTGGCACGCTCACTAATTATCATTTTATATAGGAAAATGATACAATATTAGTACTTTGCCTATAATATAAAAATATAAAACACTAATTAGCAAAAACTTTAGGGTTCATAAAAACTAAAAAAAGTGTTGGTTGGTACTTAAGTTTATAAAAATAACTTAATTTATAACTTCAAACTATATCTAGTTACAAAAAAAAAAAAAAATATAATAAATAATTAGGAATTAATTACTTTTTACTTAATAATTATAATGAATCAATAGGTAGTTGAACTTTAAGATTTATTTATGATTTAAACTTTACCACATAATTATATAATTGTTGATCAACTCTTAGATTCTAATAATAAGTAAAACATTATAAACCAGGGATTCCCAACCGCTGTGTCGCGGCTAGTGATGGGCAGAAACGACTATTTGATACTACCGACTATTATTCGGTTTTCATTACGTACTACCGACTATTATTCGATTAAGGGTCGATTCACACATATCAGTCACGAGACAGTGACGTATCCGATCAGAGATAGTCACCGACGATTTTGACTGATCAGTCAAGTGTGTTTCACACATATCAGTCACCGAGACCGGTCAGTTTCGAGAAATCGGGACAGTCGTGTTGAGTCTATACCAAACACGCGTTTACACATCACGTATTTTTATATATATTTTTGTTATATTTTTTTTAAAACATTAAAATAATACTAAGCATTACAACGTGAATATGGCGAATTTCACTGATGAAGAATTATGTATTATTGCGATTATTTTGGACGAGGAAACCGAACAAGAAGAAAAGAATACTCTGAAGAGACGAAAGTGGGTGCATGAGGCATGGCAAAAAAGAGACAGTGAAGGAGAGTTTTTGACACTTTATAAGGAACTGATTGAAGATGGAACTAAATTTTATCAATATTTCAGAATGTCTGAATATTGTTTTAATACGTTACTTGAGAAATTGTATGTATATTTAAAAAAAAAGATACACATTGGAGAAAAGCTATAACACCAAAGGAACGGTTAGGAACATTTTTATATGAAGTGTCCATATATTTTGGATTTGATAGGTCGTATAGCACTTCGTACTGTCGAACACATTCGATGAGATGTTCATCATCCATTTCGCCTACAATTGTCATCCGTCAAAACGAAAAATATCGTTGGCGAGAATTCAAAAGTTCTCGGATCTGTGACTGAACGGATACTGACGGATCGGATTCGGAAAGAAAACTGATGAGTGTGGATGACGCGATCTAAATTTAGCGAAACGTTATTTTCTATGACTGAAACTGACCCGAATTCTCGGAACTGAACGGTCTCGTGACTGATATGTGTGAATCGACCTTTATAATTTGCACGACCAGCTATATACAAATCATATAAATTAGTCGACCATTTTTTTTCCAACCAACTAATATGAATAAATGAAATTAGTCGACTAAAATAACTGATAACTCGGTAATTCTAAGAAATTTAAATTGTAGTCGTAATTCTATTTAAAGGTAAGGTTTTGTTTCCGCAGTTGACTGCAGCAGTCATACATAGTCAAAACAAAAATAACGATAATGACACGCACGGCGCACGTCGCACACACTATAAATTTAAAACAGTTGTAAATTTGTATTTATTTTTCCTAGTAATGTTTATGTTTTTTGTTATATTATTATTATTTTTGTTATATTGTTGAATTAAAGTAATTTATGCTAAAGTTTGCAATCAGTCCAATAAAAATCAGTTGAATAATAAAAAAAAGTCAAATTGAATAATGATAATTAGTCGAAAAATAAAAATGTTCGAGTAACTAAATTAGTCATTTGATACTACCGACTAAGTCGGTAGTTATTAGTCACTTTTGCTCATCACGAGTCGCGACACACAAGTGTGCCGCGAAATTATTCAGGTGTGCCGTATAATTTTTGTAATTTTATAATTTTTTAAATATAACTAAATATAATAATCAAAATTATAATTTATATTTATAATAGCATTGACTTAAAAATTCCCTTGAAAATAAAAATGATAAAATGTCCTGATAAAACAGATATAATATTATATGGGATCCTATACTACTCGATACGGGTATTGCAAGCAGTTGCGTTGACTTTTACCACATATTAAAATGACTACATGAAAACATAGCCGGTGCTTATTATAATGAAAATTGAGCGCGTGTAATTATTACCCATTATACTGTAAAGGTATTTTGATCAAGAAATATTTTAAGTTAAATTTAAAAATGGATAATTTTTAAAAAAGCGTAAATTAACGGATGACAGTGATGTTAGTGCAAATGACAACAATTTAAATATTGAAATTAATATTAAACAATCAGCTTTAATAAGTGATAAAAGTTTAAATTTAAAAATTAAACGTAAGTATGTTGATAATTATTTATGTTTTGGATTTACGTGGAATGGTGACATTGATTATCCTTTAACAATTTGTATCGTTTCAACTGTTTCACCCGTAATAGAGGAATTATGTAAAAAACACCGGTCTTAAATGTCAAATTAAATTTGTATTATATATATTATGTTAATATAATTATATTATAATACATTATATATAATTATGACATTATGTATATTCATTATTATTTATTTAAGTGTGCTGTGGAGATTTTTAAAATGATCAAGTGTACCGTTAAATAAAAAAGGTTGGGAACCCCTGTTATAAACTATATTATATGACAAAAAACACATATTATTATTGTGTATAAAAAACGAACATGGTTTACTTAATTAGTAGCATTAGTAACATTAGAAAATGTACCTTAAGATTTTACTTTAAGTTTAAATGGAATGTGTCATAAGCATGTATAGAAAAAGGGTAATATATTACTATGTATATATTATACAATTATGATTTATAATTTGCACCTTCTAAGCATGTATGAAAATCACTGAAAGTAAAATACAATTTTGTGTGGGAAACCATATTATACAACATTCCTACTGTATATTATATTCAACTAGATCCGCAAAGTAACTAATTTTTGTTCATTGTTGCCTAGATGCTATGATTACCAAATATAAGTATTAATTTTATACTATAGTAATAGTTTTTGTATACAAATACTATATGAAATTGAATAGAATTCGTATCTAAAGATCTTTAATACAATTGTATGGTTTATAAAAATTATGTTTCTAATCACAATACTTGAGTGAACTAGGATCATTTATACAACTATAGTATAGTTTATCTAGTAAATCGTACATACCATATTTTTAAAGAAGCCAATTCTTGGAGTGTGTTAAATGTTAAGACTTAATTATTATTATTTATTAAAGATTAAACCTACCTAGGTATAATATAGAAGTATATTAGAATTAAATATTGCCTTATAATAATTTAAATAGATTTAATTATTAATCAAATAATTAATTTACTTACCTTAGAAAGTGTATTGCACCAATCACAACAAACCCGAAACACGTGAAATGCGTTTTGAAAATACAAAACGATACGAATAATCACTGTATTGAGCGTACAGGACACTTTATAGGTTAGAAATAAAGTAAACGGTGATATTTGATAACTTATTGACGAATAGACGAAAAACTGAATAACATTTATATTTATCAATTCCTTCATGGATAAACGGGCGGTTAAATAAAACAGCTAGTAGTTGTAAATGATAATTATTATTATCGTAATTCATAGATATGGTATATTAAATTGTACCCCACTACCGCCCTCCGGCCATCGACAACCACGGCGGGTAACGATGCCCGCGACGGCCTATGATTCGCCTGTCGCCACCGATGTAGACATTTCAATTTTCAAACATGATGGTTGTCGGGGGAGGGGCACGAAGCCCCCCACGGGTCCGTGTTAAATAATTGCGCATGTGGAACGCAGTTTTCAAATGTTTAGACTGAGCTCCTCTACTTAATTTTTACCAATTCGAGCACCATTAACCACATATCATTATAATCTAAATATAATATAATAGTATAACAGTGGCGAAGCGTCATAGGAGACAATGAGACAATGTCTACCCACTTTTAATACGGATACATAATTTGGTTTTATTATATTTTATTTATTTTTATATAATATATACTTCAATATTTATCATAGTTTTACTTTTGTGCCATACCGTATTAGTATTCTTAAAATAGATTAGTTGCGTACCGTGCACACAAGCTGTCGTTCGTTGTGGTGTAGTGGTTAATTCTATAAACATCCAAATACAGATATAAAAATTAATATTATGAGACGACACGTTGCAGCGTCTCGTTTTCCAAGGCACGCTGTGCAGGGGGAATTGGTTATTGAGTGGGGATTATCATTGCGCTATGAGACATGTCTCGCATTCGTATTTATTATATCTTTAGGTACATTATTGTAATCGTCATTGCTTTTCACGTTGATGCGTTATCGTTTAACGCAATATTGTTATTGTAGTTATTAGTTGGTTTTTATTTTACGATTTATTTATTTCTGGTCTGATATTTGTATCTAAATATTAAAATATTGTACTATTGTCATTCGCCTCTATGTCTGATGATTTAATTAATGAAATGTTGAATGATGGAATAGTAAACTACTCGTACGAAAAAAAATATGAAATAAAAAATAAAAGACTGTGTCTCTTACATTATAAATGTATATAAAGTTGTAAATTGGGAGGGGGGGGTTGTAACGTACGTATTAATAATATGTATTATTTTAATGTCTCCCCAACTTAAATACTCATCTTCGCCACTGTAGTATAATATAATTAAACGTTATTATGTTAGATGTCACGAGTTCGCGACCATACTAAATTAACCATGCATATACTAGTATATTTAGCTAAATATATAGATTATTCGTTAAATTATGTTCTCTAAATGTTTATTTTTATTTTTATAATTCAAACATTTTAAATATAATCAATTTAAAACATAAAAATAATATTTTAAGAAAAATAATAAAATAAGTTTATAACTTGATGTTTCTGTAATACTATTAAGTAATTTAAACTTTAATATTATAAAAAAAACTCTAATAATCACATTGAAGAGACATTTTAAATTTAATATTACCTATTTAGACTCTAGATAATGTTATACTAACACCAAAATTATAACATTTGATAATTAATCAATTACTAACGTTATTATAATATTAACATTACCAAATTGCTGTCTGGGATAAATACGAGTAACTTTTTAATTACATTTTCATGAATTTTTATTGAACGAATATTAATTTACTGATATTTTTGAAAAAAAAAAAATAAAATAAGAAAACATAAGAATTTCAATTTACTGTAAATAGTTAAAAAAATAGATAAATATATTTTGAAAACTATTCTGTCTACAAAGAAAAAATTATGATATAGACATAAAGTGAAAATTTCATGTTTCTATGATTGTTATTCTTTGAGTTAAAATTAAAACTAAAATTCGATTATATCGAAATCTGTTACGCAGTGAATTTAATCGTATTTTTATAACTTTTCCTTCATTTTTCGTAATTATTAAGAAAACTTCTGAAAAACAACCTTTTTCAAAGTACCAACTAGACAATATTTCCTATTAGAAATTTCTTGTTATCAGTTTTGGGTGTTTGAACCCCGAAATTGGCTAGTCATTTAGTTCACCCATAACTTTTGAAGTTGTGCAGTTTGCATAATACTTTGACCTGAGTCTGTAAATTGGATATCAATGAAAGCTAATGATTATAGCAAGTATTTGCCGTTCACGCTCTCTAATATTCAACAATTGCTAGAGCAAAAATACTTTTAAAAAGAAAAAAATCTTAATATATAACTGTTTCTTTGTATTTTAATTATGGTACATTATATTAGTTATTTTATATATGTAAGATCAGCTTTATTTTTAAAATTTATATTAATAGGAATAAAAAAATTGAATGACTAATATTTAATGAATATTTCAGTGTCAAATGGCGATCTCTTTTTGAAGCTTTAACATCAATTTGTTGATTATAATGTTATGGATTTTCTTTTTGTATACATATAACTGCTAAACTGCTCAATAGTTGTAACTCTTAGGTATATACAAAATAATCGTAGGGCTGAAAAACTTTATTATCGCAGTATTTGTGAGAATGGTTAAATAAATCATTAATATATTTTAACATGGTAATTTTTTCTGAATATCTTTAGATTTTTTTATTTATAATTCAATTAAATTCAAGATTTATAAATACTTAATATATTTATAATGTTTATCTCACTAGATAATTAGTATTATAATTATATATTTAGTATCACTTTTGACGAGAATTTTAAAATGGTATTGGTAAACTTTTTGACATTAATTGGAACCCAATTAGGATTTTTCGAAACTATCTTAGATTTATTCCATCTATTTTACTTTTCTAAAATATAAACTCAATTTAGCATAATATTTATGATTAACTCGAAAAAATAAATGATATTGTATCGAAATGTAAAATGTATTATGTATATACATTTAATAAAAAATTAACAATATCACATAAATTTATTTAGAAGCTTATAGTCCTTGAAAATAAAGGAAGCATTGATTCTTTTTATTCTTGAAATTTTTGATTCTTAATTTAGAAATATTTAAAATTTATTTTAATTTATTTGTTGGCTCATTTTATACTTAAAATATAAAAAATATTGGTCGAAATTTAGAAATACAGCAAGAATCCCGAAATTTTTCAATCGTGAATCAGGGGCGTCATTTCAACTTTTCAATAGGGATGCAAACATTTGAATCAGGCCAATTGTTCCCTCCACCAGGCCATTTATATATCCTGTTTATTTAGCGGAACTTAAAAAAATTCTTCTATACTTCAATAGGACAATAGGTTTTTATGAAAAACTCGCACCATTACAGCGCGTTTGCATCTTACATTTTATCGACAACGGCACAATTATAACATTTTATACGGGCCAACCAAACATTTAAAAAAATAGGGCTGCCAATGTATAGTCTGAATCCACCAAATGACGCCCCTGTCGTGAATGAGTTTCAAAATATCCCGTTTGAATAGACACAATTTAATCGTAATTTAGTCACTGTATGACGCTGTACCATGTATTATTATCTTCCATTCTTCGTACTTCATGAATTCATTGAAATCTCAGATTGTGTACGAAATATGTCATTGAAATATCAGCTTTATCTTCTTTCTTATCACGAAATAAGAAAAACCCTAGTCTAATTTACTACAAAGTTTGCTTCTTTTTGTATTGTTAAAGCAAAATTTATTATACCACTGTACTAAAGATTCATTACGTTATATATCATTTATTAATTTTGTATATTTTGATTTTAGATAACTGTTTGAGTTAATTCCACAACAGTTGAAAAATAAATAAAACTAACATTTATACGACATACAATACAGTACGCAGTGTTATATCTAGTTATATTAGAGTTGGTTATGGTATTTAACTCGTGTTTGCATTTAATAATAATTGAAATTGAAATTAAACGTTTTAAATGTAATGATCTATGTTTACATATTAATTGTTTTCAACTTTTAATTAAAAAAAAATGTTAATAATTTCAATAATTTAACGCGAAAAGGATATTTTTCACTTTATATCAATACTATAATAATATTATGTATATATTTAATTTGAGCATTTGATTTAAAAACAATTTTAGGTAATAGATCAGTTGCTCGTGAGCAGTCGTACAGTACACACCAGTGTTAACATAATCCGTATAATGTGCCCACAGCTTTCTTATACTAGAACCGATTTTTCTCGAATTTTTACGTAATTAATCAGTATACTAACACACGTTGTGCGCATAAAATTATTACTTTAATAAATTACAAATTATACTCTTAAACTAATAAAAAGTGTAATTCTTAATTAATTTAATAATATACAAAAAGACCGGCTCCAGGCACCGCGCGCTCGGTGACCTTGGAACCCAAGATAAGATAGTGACATCATGCCTAACAACTCGATAAGCAACAAACACGCAACTACAAATAACACACAGAACGACTCTAAAGGTGCGTTTACATTAAGGCCGCGAACGCGAACGAACGCGAACGAATGGTACAAATTGCCGATATTCGGCCCCACCGCACAAACTATTCGCTCGTGATTCTTCTTTTGCGTTCGATAGCATACTAAATATCGATTTCTTTGATCTTACCGCCACCAATTCGAACCGCGACGAAGGCGAACGAATGGCTCAAATGGGCGTTCGTTCGCGTTCGTTCGCGTTCGGTCTACCGTTTACACCTGATCGTTGGTACCGATTTAATGTACCGAATTCGCGTTCGTTCGCGTTCGTTCGCGTTCGCGGCCTTAATGTAAACGCACCTTAAGGCCGCGTGTACATTGGAACGCCAATGGCCTCAGAAAACACTTAGACGAACTTCAACACATCCTAACCGAAACAAATACCGACATTGCTCTAATCTCTGAAACCCACTTTACTTCTACTTCCTGCGTCAAAATGTATGGCTTTAATTCTTACTACTCGTGCCACCCTGACAGAACAGCTCACGCTGGTTCGGCAATTAACATTAAATCTAGCATACCCCATTACCCTCTACCTTCTTACATTTCTCCCCATATACAAGCATGCAGCGTTTCAATTGTTACTCATAATAACATACCTATTACTGTATCCGCAATTTA